AAGTAGTCGACCCAAGATCAGTCTTTTCCCTATTATAGGCGCACTGCAGGATAGTAAAGTAAGCAACCTATGGAGGTGAGTCGGTGAGGTATAGAACCCGAAACTCTGACGTGGCTCTCGAACACTCTACTGTTGGACAACCAATGCAGTGATTGACAATATAAAACACATAGCATTCATACAATATCTACTTTTTTTATTTTTATGCCTCATCAGTAGAAGCTTCTGTTAGTGATACACTTATTGTGAGCAATTATCAACCCTCCGTGAAGTTAACCAGTCATTGTATCAATTAGTAACTCGACCCTTACATCTCTCTTAATTTCTCATACTTTGTAATTTAACATGATTCTTTAAAGTATGCTAATATCAATGTGCAGCATGTATTATTCAAAATAATCCCTACACATGCCTTTTGGTTTAAAAACAAACATTTGCGTGTTTAAATCAATTTGGACTTTCCAGTTGATTGATTTAACGGAAGTACTGAACCTCAGGTTGACATGCTGGCTCTTGTGCACACACTCCGATGATATCTGATTATCTGAAACTTGAAGTAAATTGGTAGATGGTGACTAGCAGTGAAACTGAGGATGTGTATTTAGTCCTTCCATATTAGTTTGTTTATTAGATGTATCACACAGTGGAACAGTATCATTTATTATTGTTTATTATTATATCAATCATGATATGATTATGATTAGGAACAATAAATTTTGTTCGAAACTGCGTCATCCAGTAAATAATACTGTTTCACTGTGTGATACATCTAATGAACACACTAATATTGAATTAGTTACTACCATAGTGATCAAGTTTTACACATGTACTTAGTCTTATTTGAAACTCGTCATCTAAGCATACCTGCATATCCTGGATTCCAATGCTAGTCACCACCCACCAATTTACTTCAAGATTTTAGATGGTTGAAGGTATTCGGAAGAAAGTCTTCTATCTGGGTTTCATACTTAGTTACTGGCACTCATCAGCAACGCGTACTTGCAATTTTGAAGGTATTCATATCCCTTTTGAGATTTGAATCTGGGTCACCTAATGGTTCGTGACACTAGTGTTCAATCTTAAAAGGAACAGCTTTTGTTGAGTATCTTTCACATAACTACAGCTTCTTCAGTAGAAGACTGATTTTTTATTACTATGCGTTCCAAGCAGAACACAAAGCGTCAAGCCTTGAAGTTTCATTAGAGGTAATGTTATTTTCGCTAGCCTCATACTCAAGCCTTCCTTCTTTACCGCACTTGCTACCAGCTAAGCAAGGTTAAAGGAATCCAACCCAGTCCAAGTGCATAACTGAATCACCGATACACGTAGAACACTATTAGATCATATTAAATAATTTTGAAGTGATTCAATGAGGAAGAGAGTTTAAATCATTTCAGGATATGTGTAATACATACGGTTTGAATATGTCTTACATCCACTGGTTTAACTGAGAAGTATTTATTTTCTCTTTAGTTGTATATAACTATAAAGAAACTGGAAATATATAAGGATTTTATTATGCTGTGCAGACGAAGTCAAATAAATCTTGCTCTATTTCAGCTAACACCCAATGAACTCTAACTTTAGAGGTTATAGGTAATTTATACCAAGATGCAGAAATAAAGGAGTGGAAAAGAATGTAAAGTAAAACTTGATAAAATAAGTAGTTAAAATGTTAATGTTGTAGGTTGATTCTTAAGTAGAATACTGATATTAGTTTGTGTTACATATTAGGTGAGTATTATTCATCGTTATAGTCGCAGATGTGTAGATTAAGCTTCTTTGTGATTGACAGATGACTAGAGTTTACATGTTGCCGTTTCAACTGCACTTATCATCCTGTTAGATTGGTGAATAAAGTGGGCGTTACTTCATGATGGAAGGTAAGTGATGATTGGCGAGATGTATTTCAGTCGACTAAGAAGGCTAAGATAAGTTCAAGGAATACCAGACCACTATCTTCCTATGTTATATTGGAAAAGAGTAAAGGGTGATCAAACTAGAATATAGCACTGTTCTATCAAGTCATTGAATGTGTGTTTGTACCACATAGCGAGGTGTAAATTGTCTAAATTAGGGTTTTCTAGATTCTAGACACTAGTAGTCGGAGATCATTATTGGCATACTTCGAAATCCTTCATGATTATGAAGACAAACTCGCTACTTGTTATCTTCATATAATTATTCCATATTTGGTACACGTTCACCCATTTTAATTACGTAAATTACTGTGATGCATGCTTCTTACGACTTGAAAAATTCTACACTTTTGGCAATTATGGTGCCTTAATATGTCAGTCAGTGACAGGATAGGACAATGAAGACCACTCTGTTCTTCGCAGAATATCTTAGACATCAGATGATGTGATTCAAATGAAACTCAGGGGAAATTTTATCCTCTGCTTAATGATAGCTGGTTGGAGATGTTAGAAACCAAAGAGTACTGAATGTAGGCTCCCCTACTGTTTAGTAATTAACTGCAGTATTCATATGAGTTTGAGTCAACAGTAATGAGTAATTTCATGGCGATCATGTTACTAATTACCGATTTTTGGCTTCCATGGCTGAAGAGTCCACAAATGGAAGGCTGAATCTGTTTAGTGATACAGAATTTCAGATTATTAAATTGTTTATAAATATGCATTAAAATGATATAATCAATCGATAAATTAGTCAAACAATGAGTGATACATTATTCATAACTGGATGACGTTTTGAGCACAATTTATTGCTGGTCATAATCATATCTCAGTGTATTCACACAGCTTCAAAATTTGCTCTATGTATTCTTTTTCTCTTACCCTCGTTATTCCATATATACGGTATGGGCTCTGCGTCATTTTGACTGCACGTGTTTGGTGTTGATTAAATGAACTTAGATTCAGTGGTTAACCTCTCTGTCTCCACCTAACTATACCACTTTTTAGTACTTTCATCCCGTCCCACATTACTGTGGCATTACATCCAATTGAATGCAATGCAATCGCTAGGTTATTTATCTTAGCAAGGTGAATCATTCTAGGTCTAGATTAATTTCTCCGTTTCTCGATGATCTGATTGACCCCAATCTAGTAGTGCGACTTTTGTAATCAAACCAATAGAAAGTACGTGCAATCGAAATGATGCAACACTCATACCGGATACATTAAAAATTACAGTGAATTACAAGGCGAATTTTGAAGCCATGTAAAAATGTATTTATATGATTATGAACGATAAATTGTGCTCAAAAAGTCAACCACTTATGAATACTGCATCGTTCACTATGTGTCATGCCAAGTAAACTTGTCTAATATGGAATCATATATTCTGTTATAGTGGTCAAGTTTTACACGATGAGCACCACTCAAATACTGTAATTAGAAAACCTAATTTCAGTCATAAAAGTGAAAAAAGTTTTTAAGAAAATTTAAAAATCTTACTGAATTACACAAAAAACTTGGCATTTTAGAAAAATGTGTCCATCTTCAGGTTAAATGAGTTATGTCCAAGTAACTAGAAATAAGTATAAAACTTGGGCTTATATCAATAATACATATGGTCTTCCTACTAGAAGCTTATCAATAAACTCACACGACTTGCTCAAACAGAAGCAAGATTCACAAACCATCGGATTTTTTTAATAGCCGATGTTTAAAAAATCATATAATTCCAAAATATTTACGCATACTCACTCGAATTACTTCAAGGAAATTATCATCAGCAGCTGAACATCTCAGTAAATAATGTCTAAGAGAAGAACTACGTCGAGTCACTGTGAAACTAAATAATATACGAAATGAAATCGAAAAACTCAAACAGAAACCCAAATGTATGGTCAATGACAAAGATTATGTAATCGTTGTTGAAACATCCGAAAAAGCTAGAGAGTCAGCCTTAAGAAAATCAAAAACCACACAAATCAAAAAATTCAACGAACTAATGGAAGAAAAGGACATAACAAATGAAATTGATGTCAACACTTCATCCTCTATCAACAGAACAAAATGGGTGATCAACCTCTCATCAAGAGAACTAAGCTCTAGTGAGATAAAAGTACTTGAGAAAGGACTAAATTTCAACGTAACAGTTAATAAATTAAAACCAGAGGATGTCATTCCTAACATAGAAGTAGCACTAGGTTCAATAGATAAGGCAACAGCAGAAGAGGTTAGAGCACAATGTGCATTAACCCTGAAAAATCAAAAGAAGTCAAAATCAAACTTGACAAAATCGGAAAGGGAAGCTTTAATTAGTCTAAAACAGGATAAAAATATTGTCGTCGCAAAAGCTGACAAAGGAAACGCCACCATAGTTCTGAATAAATCCAAGTAACTAGGTTGTTTGAAGGCGCATACAAACGACTGCTACACATGAAATTATCCTATCCTTCAACAATCGTGTGCACTGAGTCATTGAGTGATGTCTAATTTTCAGACGTGGAAAGGGGGAGGACACACAATGATACTAGCTGACTATTTAAACCTCTGTATGGGTGTATGTATGGCAGTAAATTCATAGCTGTGACCCATTTGTCAAAACTAACTGGATGAAATCAAAGCGAGATTACGTCATCAGCAGGCTGATCAATTTTCATCTCAGCCACCATTATAACACCAATTATTATTATTAATATTATTGGTTCTTTTGAATTCTCAGTGGAACATAGAAGTTCAAACTTGAGCTTTGCAGTGATTTCGGCTTTTTATGGGGTGAAGTTGCTAGCCTCACATTCAATCTCCCTGATTCACTGGGTTCACTAATGGCTAACCCACAGCTTTAGATGCTCATCACCAGAGGATTGAATCCCAGAACATTTAACGCGTGGTTGGCAAGCATCAAAGATTTTCTAAAAGTTACACCTGTGAAAATTTAGACATCAACTGTTGCCTAGTGAAAGGAAAATAACCAAACTTACATACCATGGTAATGATAATAATACTAAATCAATAAATAAAACTCCCTTTATAAAAAATTCCTCAATTATTAATAATATTATGACTCTTTGAGAAAAAGGATATCCCCACTCAATAATAATTTTTGAATATTTCCTGATAGCATTTTCTTCAGAAAATATGAATAACGTTTTATGACTTGAACTACGTAATCCTGGTATTCCGATAGTCAATGTCCGTTTGGCTAAATTACGCATAGATGCATCTTTAGCACTTTCCAGACTGCTGTCATTCTCTGCCTTATACAACACAGTTGCTGATTGTTTGTTTGTAGAATTTGTAGGATTGTTAGTTGTTAAAGTTTTGGATTTTTTCATCACTGAATCCAATTTTTCATAGTCAATTCCACTTTTAATATCTTGTTCATCATATGTTGGACATTTGATTCCCCCATTATCTGTAGTGTAGAGTTGAACTTCTCACTAATGAACACCTTTTTAGTTTCACGAGAGTTTCGAATCATATCTCTGCATATTTCTGTGGGTTGTGTCTTTTCAGAATCATCTTCATCTTCGCCGCCACCGCCTTCCTCTTCTTCATCCTCTTCCTCTTCTTCATCTCCTTCAGAGTTATCATTATCATCATGCGCTGTTAGATTAGTGTTGCCTATACTGTGAGTATGTGTTGTTGTCAGTGCTCCACTGTTAAATGTCGATGTTACTGTTGTCACTGTCGGATTCGCATTGGTTATACTTTGAGCGTGAATATCATGAGCCTTATGCTCAATAGCCATTTTTTTTTGGTTATCTTTTTATTAATCACAAAAACTAATTTGTACACTGTGTGACAATAATAGTGATAATAATAACGGAATAAATAATGAATATTTTAAATTTCTTGACAAAGTTGTAATCATGAGTTTCGTCAGTCTTGATTTTGTATCCATAATTCTGTTGTTTGCATGTATGTGTTTCAGAGTGAGTGAGTGTTAAACATTCAGCATAAAAATTCATGTTGCATTATGTTACCGATGTCATCTGTCATCCATTCGGTAGATAACCAACTGCTCAAATGGATCAATTTATGTGAAACATGTATTCAACTTCACTTTTTATTTTCTCTTTTACTCTTCTGAATTTTGTTGGCATTTACGTGAATCTTGTTATTTTAATTCCTTTAAAAAATTAGAATTTCTTAGGGAATATTTTTAGAAAAAAATCCACAGAGCTTATTGTTGCATTATTTTATTTCACTTTTAACTGATATAATAAATATTTTGCTGTATAATTTAGAATGAATAATCAAACTAGCTTCTCACACACTGTGTTGTTTGGCTATTCGATAATATAATTTGAGCGTAATGGATATTCTTTAGTGGGATAGAATGAGCATGAGCAATAATCACGGATGTATCCACACACGCCTACACACGCACGCACATACACACATTCACGTAAGATTGAATTGTTAGTTTGTGTTGGCGTCCACTAAGATCGACAATCAGACAGATACACCTATGGATCAGTAGTCCTCTCTCTAATAATAAACAGAGGTTAATAGATAGATAGATAGGTAGACGAACAGACAGACAGGTAAAGAAAACATACAACCTGCAAAGTATATAGACACACTTATGCGTATGTACACGCATACTCAGTAGGATACAAGCATATAAATACACGTGCGTACGCACACACATGTATGCCCACATACTTACGCTTCATTAACCGACTTGAATGATACCTGTCTAACACACGTGGACAAATATGTCTGCCTATCCACTACTATTATTATTATCTACATGTTAGTTATCAACCAATCAGATTAATGATCGAATAACTCAACAATAAAAGACAATCAAATTAAGGACAAATAATAAGCCTAGTATTTCTTTTTATTATTTTCTTGGTTTGTATTCATCTATTTACTTACCTTGAAGAAATTTTCCTCAGTTGAACTCAATCATCAGTTAGTCAATTTAGATTACCTTCATCTTTTTGCTAAAAATATGGGTTAAACTAAATGGGATAAAGGGAGAAAAGAGCATATAAAAAAATGGATTTGTGATTAATTTCCTCTTCGTAGCAACAGTAGTAATAGTAGTTTCCCTGTTGTGACACAGGAGGCACGAAGAGAGATGGATTTGGCAAGCAAGATACACTAAAATATTTGTTTCCTTGAAAATGACCCTAACAATCAGCATGAACGGGATAGTGGACACAAATGAGCCTATATATATATATATATATATATATATATATATATAGACAGAGAAGTAGGTTACTCTATTCCGCATTAAAACTCACCAGGACAATAACAATAAACATACATGTTACATTAAACGCAATCGTGTCTTAAAATATTCTCTTCTACTAATAATGTTAGTAGCAGTAATGATAATAATAATAGATGTAAGAGTGTGAAATATTTCCATATCATGAATTAAAAGTCGGTCTGAACAAGGAATATTCTTTTCAGGTTCTTACAGTTATAAAAGATAATATCTTGAAATATTAGAGAAGATTTGTAGCTAAGATGGATGATTTGCAATTAATAGTGTTCTCTGAGCTGGTTCGTTTAGTTGCGGAGCTTTCGTCGTCTTTCTGGACGGAATATTCAGCGCAGTATTTAGCATAAAGTTAAATGATTTAAAAATCTCCATGAATGATGATACAACTGCGTCTCCTGGTGACCAATCATCTTCACATAAGTATTGACCGTTTTCTATTGATTTGGATTTTAAACTTTCTGGTCACCTGATTTACTTTTTATTAGTTGATATATTTCATGTATATTAACGTGTTTATTAATGGCATTTTCGTTTGAGTACCAGGCTTCTAGGAATTCCCTGGCACATTTGGTATTTCCTCTGTTTAAGATTTTGATATTATCCCAATCAAATTGATGTCCATAATTATCTGTATGCATTGATACTAAAGAATTTATATCATATCTTTTCACGGCTGATTTGTGTTCTTGGATTCTTATTCGAAGGGACGCCCACTTTGGCCGATGTAATGTTTGTTACAGTTCATACAATTTATTTTGTAAATGGTGTTAATTTTATTTCCTTTTTCTAACGGATCTTTTGGTTTGCATAAGATCGAATTAAGCGATTCTACTGATTTGTATGCTACATATATATCAAACGGTTTCAGTATTCTAGCCGTTATTTTAGAGATATTTCTCATGTATGGTCTTTGATGATGGTTCCTCGTTGGTGTTTTGATTCGACTTTAAACACTTTTTGATGAAATTTTTTGGATAACCATTCTTTTGAAGACCGTTTGTAAGTATTTTTTCTCCATTCTTTTCAACTCTGGTGTGCTATAATGTGTTTGAACTCTTTTAAACAATTCATTATAAATTATTTAAATTAATCCCAGCGTGTTAAGAAAATCAAAACAAGATTTTTCTGAACGTTTCGCCGTGTAAGCCACAGCTTCTTCAGCAGATTTATTCGGATTATAATTAATCATGGACTATATATTTTGATGATTAATTATAATCCGAATAAATCTGCTGAAGAAGCTGTGGCTTACACGGCGAAACGTTCAGAAAAATCTTGTTTTGATTTTCTTAACACGCTGGGATTAATTTAAATAATTTATAATGAATCAATCTGACTCGGCGCTCAAATTATTCCAGGAAATTCGTAACACCTACGGTCTGGAAACTTATAATCTTTTAAACAATGTCTGCACACAGTTTTTTTTGTGAGTAATTGGATTATTGTTAGTATAGTTGAGTATTTGATATAAGTGCGTTTATTTTCTATATACTTGTGTTTCTAAATTTCCTGTATTGGTTCTCATGATTAAGACATCTAAAAATGGGATTTTGTCATCTAATTCTTCTTCTCTTGTGAATTCGATGTCTTCAAATATGTTGTTTATTAATTATTACTGATGAATTGATAGAATGGTCGCATGATTCTGTTAGGTAATTTAATTTCCTGAAAAGTTCTTTAGATAGATAATATGTCGGTGTTCCTGGAAGCGAAACGATTGGTCGTAAGGGAATGTTTGGTTTGTGTAGTTTTGGCCTACCATAGAATTTAGGCAAACTAGGTCCGTTAGATTTCATTCGCCATTGATCTTATTTTTAATTTGTCCTGATTTCGTTAGTTATCTAACGTTGTTCTGATTTTGTTATCTAATGTTTGTATAAGGTTTTTCGTCAACTGTTCATATACATTATTACCTTTGAGTTAATCCTCTGCTTTCTTTATGTAGTCTTCTGTGTCCAAGATTACTGTAGTTCTTCCTTTATCAGCCGGTAGAATAACTATATCTTTTCTATTCTTCAGTTTCTTTAATCCAATTTGCTCTTCAGTGCTAAGTTGGGAATTATTCTTTTCTGTTTGAGTATAGGTATGATACATTGGCGTATTTCTTGTTGTACTTCCTCATTTAATTGTGATAATTTGAGCGATGATTCTAAGGAAGCGCAGAAATCTGTCACTGAAGCGTCGTCACCAGTATTATAGTTGAGTCCTTTCTGAAGAAGTTGTTCTTCTGTTTTCAATAATAGTTGTTTCGATAGATTTACTACACAACTAAACCAACTAGCTCATAGAACACTATTAATTGCAAATATAATATCTGTTGTCGTTACAGTAGTGACCAGTTAGGCGGTGGTAACATTTTCAAGTAGAATAACAGATTAGTAGTTATAGGGTGATGAAATCAATGGTATTTATGTGATAAGCGTGCTAGGTTGAATTCGGTTACAAAATGTTGATGACGGTGATTAGTCATAAGTGATTCATAAAATGTTACCCAGGAAGAATGACCAGTACAATATAGTACTCACTGAAGAGGAGACAGTAAGACTAAGGTAAATATTATTTCGTAACGAAGTAATCAATCTATGAAATGAAGAAAAGATATGATATCACCAATAATAAAACAGAATAGTATAAATGGAGGATCTGATAGTCTTGAATGAATGTTAGAATGAGGAGTATAAACAACAAAAGAAAAGAAAAGGAGACAAGAGAAAGTGGCACTCTTGGAGGAGGGGAGAAGAAATTTTCATCCAAGTTTGACCATAAAAGGGACAGCATGTGAATGTGTTGTTTTTGAACACAAAGTTCCTCTTTATTCGATTATATTGCAACAGTTTGAGCTGTTTGGAGAAGACGTAGGCGAACTGTATATGACAATGACTTCGGATTGTAGCATATAACCCTAAAAGCTACGTTAATGTCTTCGTCATGTTCTATGTCGATCAAGTGTGATAAAAGTGAACTTTTTAGGCATTTGATCTCATACTTTCTACTCTAGAATTAGTAAATGTTCTCCAATCCTTAGAAGAAACTGCCTAATCCTAAGTCCTATATAAGTTGAACTACGGGAACATTGAAAAGATATATGTCTGAGAAGGAGCTAAAATAAGATATCTTTCAATTTCGTGGTGAATATTGGATGGCTACGGAAAACAGGTGGAGATATGCAGAGTAGAAAGCCTTCTCTGTCGCTCTGGTTTTATGGTGGGATGAAATCTCTGCCCGACTATTTAATCAGCATCATAGTCTCGCATTTAACAATATTTTTTATTTGCACTTAGCGTAGCTCCTTTGTCGCTCACACAAATGCTATTTATTAAGTCACTCTATAATAATTATCATTATCATTCTTTTGGTTCCACAACACATCTCCATTTTGTTCTATTTTTCCAACGTTCCTCTTTAGTTGGGCCCACGATTGTCCATAATCGAGCATCTTCTCTTGCACGATCTCCTCATGACATCCTTTCACCGACGACCCATCATGGTTTCCTATTCAGATTCCATTTGAGTGATGGCCTGCATTGAAAGCGATGTCATTTGACGGTCTCCTCAACGTGTGTCCGATCCATCTCCATTTCTTCCACTTATTTGTTAACCGATTGGCTCTTAGATGGTTTGTTTCCAGTCAGCCAGAGTTTCTTGTTTCTAACTCTTTCTGACCGGCGGGCAGATCATCTGATCTTCAGCATGGAGTCAGTGAAGTAGACAGCTGTTGTTAGAAGTCTACAAACTGTCGGAAATCCTTTTTGTGACACACTAAGTTTCTGACCCATATAGAATCAATGAATGATTTTACATTTTTTTTTGAAAATCCGAATCTATGATGACTCTATAATTACTAATCTGTTACTCTACTTGAAAATATATCCCATGAATTAGTGGTTATTATCATAATGATGTATATAAACATTATACTATAAGTACCTGATAAGAATTTATTGAAAAGAATATCCTTCTTATACATCAACTTTTAATAATAAATTTATTCTGAAAAATGCGTTAATAAACACTACATAATTGTAAACATGAAAACCACTCACTATTTCTGTAGAATCTTAGAGGAAACTAATAGTCTGTCATAAAAAAATATTTGAAAGAATATTGTCATATCCGGTTACAACCAAGGCCAACTCATTGTGCTCTGAATACAGGAAACTCGATCTCTTGATCCTACTGCACAGCTCCCAAAGCTTTCCTGAGGCACACACAAGGTCACAGAACGC